CGCTTGCCAGACAGAGAGAGACAGAGAGACAGAAAGTGATAAATCACCCCCCAGGGGGGATGGCCACGCCGCAATCCCTTCTCCATTCTCCTCTCGGGATCTTGGGCATGCACACACACACGTGCCCAGCGTGTTTTAAGCCACCAGGTCCGGGACGCGAACCGCAGTCGACTACGTGGGAGTCCAGCGACATAGCCATTACGCTAACTACTGGTTCCCTATGCATTTTCTTATGACTGATTATCTGAATATTTTCTCGTGTACTTATATATCTTTGGTGAAGTAGTCTGCTCAGTTTTTTTTTTCCATTTAAAATAACTGTATTGCCATTTGATTGTTGAGTTATAAGGATTCTTTACATACTATACAAGTCTTTTATTATCAAATATTGGTTTTGATCATTTTATTTTCTTAACTGGGTCTTTAACACAGGATGCTCCTCCCCCCCCCCTTTTTTTGAGGGTTTTTTGCTATAGGGTGCATGAGCTTGCCAGAAAGAGAGAGACAGAGAAATAGAAAGCGAGAAATCAACCCCCAGGGGGGATGGCCATGCCACAATCCCTTCTCCTCCATTCTCCTCTCGGGATCTTGGGCATGCACGCACACGCACCCGGCTTGAGTTTAAGCCACTGGGTCCAGGAGGTTGACTACATGGGAGTCCAGCGACATAGCCATTATGCTATCTGCTGGTGCCACACAGGATGTCTTTTTAAAAAAATTATTATTTATTATTATTATTATTTTAATTTGACCAGAGAGAGAGAAAGTGAGAAAGCAAGCCACTGGGTCTGGGGCTGGCACTGCAGTCTGCCCTGTGGGAGTCCAGTGCCTTAACCACCATGCCACCTCCTGGTCCCCTTAATTAGGTCTTTCAAAGAGCAAACATTTTAAATTTTGATGACATAAATTCTTTTTTTTTGATTTGTGCTTTTGTGTCATACTGCCAAAAAACTTTGCCTAACCTGAGGTCTCATAAAAGCTTCTCATATATCTATTTTTTTTTCCCCAGAATTTTTGTAGTTTAGCTTTTCTGTTTAGGTCTGTGATCCATTCTGAGTTTCTTTTTCTTTTTCTTTCTTTTCTTTCTTTCTTTCTTTCTTTCTTTCTTTTTTTTTTTTTTTTTTTTTGTATGTGAGTCAAGTTAAGGCTTTCCTTTTCCTTTGATTTCTCCACTAATTTCTTTGGCACTTTTTGTAAAAATCAATTTTATGTATGTATGTACACACACACAGATACACAGACATAGGCTCTTAATTCTGTTCCACTGAGCACTTTGTCATCACACAATACCATATGATAGTGATTGTTGTAACTTTAACAAACATTTTTTATGTTTTCAGAGAACATGAGCACTTGGCAGAGAAAGAGAGAGACAAAGAGAGAGGGATAGGGAAAAATGCATTCCCAGTGGGATATACTCACATCTCAACTCCTTCTCCTCCATTTCTCCAGTCTGTTACGATTTTTAATCATTTAAAAATGATTAAACACATGCGCTACCTGGCATATTTTCCTAGATGCCAGGGTCAGGGTTTGAACCATGCCATAGACTATGTGGGGTCCAGCTTCCTTAACCAGTAGGCCACAGGGCTAGCCCTGTTATAACTTTATAGTAAGCACTGGACTCAGGCAGTTAGTCCACCGTGTTCCTCCTTTTAAAAATAGTTTTGTTCATTGTAGTTCTTTGTTTAGCCATACACATTTTTATAATCTACTTAAATTACAACTCGCTGGGGTGTGTACTGGGATTATGTTGAATCTATAGATCAACCTGGGGATCACTGACAATAATACTGAGTTTTCTGAGCTTAGGAACAAAACTTATCTCATCATTTATTTATTCTTTTTATTTTCTTACTGTTTTGTAGTTTTGGTATACAAATCTTACACATTTTCCTCTTAAGTATTTTTAAAAATTGATTTGTATGTTCATAAGAGAGAGCGTACATGAGAGAGAGAAAGAGAGATTTGGAGGGAGAGAGGTAGGCATTCTGACCAGGGTCTTAATAGCACTCTGGTCCTTCCAGTCCTCCTGCCAGGGTTGCCTCAGGGTTTGAATTCACCACCGTCCCTGTGACTTCCAGGACTGCAGTTCAGTATGCTACTTCCTACAGGACTGATTTGGGCCAGTAGTCTTGTCCTTTGATGCTGTTATACTTCATCTTAGACAAAAAGTTGTCAAGTGATTTTTGTTGCTATTATAAGTGGCGATGTTTTTCTCATGTCCATTTCCCATTGTTCATTGTTAGCATACAGAAACAAAATAGATACTGGCAGATTTACCATGTATCCTGAGACCTCACTAAACTTACTCATTAGTTACAGTATCATTTTTGTAGATTACTTAGTACATATATCGTATGTAAACAAAGTTGCCATTCTTCATTTCTAATCTGTATGACTTCTCTTTCTTTTTCTTGCCTTATTGTATTGGATAATACCTCCAGGGCAAGGTTGTAGAGATGCTTTTTATCA